GCAGACTCTGGCACAATCTCCTGAGCTGCCATGGGCGGGGCCACCCTCGGGCTAGCCTAGAGCACTGCGGGGAGTTGCAGGCATTCCGGGTGTGTTCTCCAGTGAGAACGGCTCCCCTTCATGCCTTCTGGACCTTGCTCCAGCTTCTGCTGCCTGTGCCCATTACCCGCATACTGGGAGCAGACTCTGGGACAATCTCCTGAGCTGCGGTGGGTTGGGGCCACCCTCGGCCTAGCCTAGAGTATTGCAGGGAGTCACAGCCGCGCCGGCTGGTCTCTTCTGCAAGAACAGCGCCTCTTCAGGCATCCCGGATCTTGCTGTGGCTTCCACTGCCTGTCCCAGGTAGCTGTGCGCTGGGAGGAGACTCTGTGGTTGCTGTGGGTGGGCCTGCTTTCTGGCTCGTCCGCAGCTGTGGCGGGTCAGGTTGGTTTGTTTTTAGTGCTGGCCGGGTTGGAGGGAGGTACGAATGGTAGGCTTCTTTTCACTGTGAGGGACTTCGGGGCTGCTTTACCCCTCAGAGGGTTAGGGGGCCTGAAGTTTCTGAAGATTCCCAGCCTGCTGGGCTGAGTGTGCTGGGACTATTTTGTTCAGCTGTTGAGCCCATGTCCCTTTAAGATTTTTAAAAAGCATCTGCTTTTCTTTTGTCCCAGGGGAGCCTGCTGTGGGCACCCACTTGCAGTCTCCGTCTCGGATCCTACCCTTCTGTTTCTCTAATATCCAGCTCACCATGCAATGTGTGTCTGTGCTCCTGGTACAGATTGCTAGGGCTGGTTATTTAGTAGTCCTGTGCTTCCACTCCCTCCCCACTCTGACTCCTTTCCTCCCATGGGTGAGCTGGGGTTGGGGGAGTGCTCAGGTTCCGCTGGGTCACGGCTTTGTATCTTACCCCCTTCGTGAGATGCTGAGTTTTCGCAGATGTAGATGTAGCCTGGCTGTTGTACTGTAACCTCCGGTCTCTTTTTTAAGAATAGTTGTATTTGTTGTATTTTCAAAAATATATATGGTTTTGGGAGGAGATTTCCACCACCCTACTAACGCTGCCATCTTGAGCTGGAAGTCCGGGTAGATTTTTCATACCTTATTTTATATAAAGCAAAACTGGTTAATAGCATGAGCTGATGATTGGGTCAGTATTTAAAATTCATGTCCATATTTCTAGTTTATCCCAGATTTTGGTACTAGATTGTATGACACCCTTAATTTTCAGTAGCCTTTAATTATTGTCTTTTTTTTAATGTGTTGTCATTCATTAGTATTTCTGTAAAAGATTGGGAGATACTGGGTATGTAAATGTTAACAGACACTGAATGAGAAGTGTCATCTTCATGAATATTACAATAAGCGAACAAAAGATTTTGTTTAATTAGTTGAGCACAATGTATAGCAATAAGGCTTTGTGATTTCTTGCCTTTTAAACTTTACTTATAAATTAACATTATTTTCTATTAGAGGATTAAAATATCATCTATGGCAAGTAACACTATAAGCCTGCTTTGTATGTGCTATGAATGTCTACCTTAAAATTATTTTTGAGGCAGCCACCTCAACTTTAATCTATCTGCCGATCTTGAGGAATATTGCTGTCAAAAATTATGATGAAGTGCCCCAAAGTGTACATATTCATGGCTGTTGCCTCATGTCTATCCTCAGGATTCATGACTACATCCCATGCAGTGACAGAAACTCAGGGGAAGAGATCCAAGAAAGTGAAACATAAGCCACGCAGAGTACTTCCCCATCCTTAACAGGTGTTAAAAACATCAGCTTGCAAGTGATTGATATGCACAGGATGTCATAAAAGTGCAAGCCTTGGAAAGCCTTTTCTGATATGCTGAAAATAGAAGAAGTGGGAAACCAGACTTCAAAATTCATGTGCTTGTTTTTCTGACATTTAAACTTTGGCCCTGGCCACTATTGATTAACAGTAGAACCACTAGACTCTTTATGGTATAAATAAATACATCTGTGAATGAGAGATCAAATGTTGCTTATCTGTTGATGAGTAGAGAATTCTGCACTTTTAGTTATTTTTAGGAGTGCACTGAAGCAGTTTTTATGGGTTCCTCAGACCAATTATGCCAGTCTCTTCTAAACTCTGTTCAATGACCACAGTGGTCACTTGAAACGGATTGTGTTGGTGGAATTTATGTCATGGAAATGGCAAATGTTACAGTTAGGGCTTTTTCCCTCAGAGAGCCAGTTGTTAAACATTTATTAGAACATTACAATTATTAGGGTCCTTTTTATGCTTTCTTTCCTGATGATTACATGATTATATTCAGTTTATTTGTGTGAAATTCTCCAGCCTTCATTATAGTGATCAAGTCAGCAAATGATATTAGATTTGAATTTTCATAAATTTGCTTTTACATGAGCAGAAACCCATATTCAAGCAATGGCTTTGTGCCTTCTCTTTCATAATAAATTTTTAGTTGTGACTAGTAACTACAAAAAGGCAACTATAAGCTAGATTCTCTTTGATTTTATTTTTTTTACCATTAATCTTTCCAAACAAAAAGAGGCACTCTTATTCCAGTTTTTTGGTAAGCTTTAACATCAGTTAGAGGCTGAATGCCTCCAGTTACAATAACAATGGATTTCATTTCCTTTGTCCTAGCAAGTGTTTTATAAATGAGTGTCCCTGGCTTAGGGTCCTGCTTCCAGCTATACTTCATCATCCTGAATTGTGGGGCAGGTTCTCTGAGTGAACATCCTGAGAAGTAAAGAATTAGGAGCTCCAGGAAACTGTTGGCCTTGACTCTGCTGCCATCTCAATTTCTCTCGACCACCTCAGTATTTCTTTCTTCTTCCATTTTTCCAATTCTCTTTTCATCATCATCTGATTGTTTATTTTATTTATTCACTTGCTATGTCTCAGACTTAAATTTTAAAAAAGTAACAGTTGATGGGAAAGATGACTACATAATTATGTGGGTGATGTAGGTAAGGAAGCAATTTGTCAACTCTTGAAACTGATATTTTAAAAATGCATGTTCAATATTTATTTGAGCAAGAGGGATATGAGAACCTGTTAAGAATCCTTTGTTGTTTCAACATGAAAACTCTATTCCTGTCTATTCTGTGGAACCAATTTACATGTAGTTAGCTGCGAAAGGAACTGAGGATGTGGGGCTGGGTGAACTGGCACTGCATTTTCAAATTAATTCGATGACATTTTAATGTTCCTTAGAGAAGTGCTTTTCAACCTCTCATGTGTGTATCTGTCACCCAGGAATCTTGTTAAAATGAGATACAGTAAATTCTGATTCAGTCAGTCTCAGGCAGGGCCCGAGATTCTGCATTCCTAACAAGTTCCCACATGACGCTGGTGCTGCTGGTCTAGGACCACACTTTGGTGGGGGGAGGTGTCACAACCCCTTTACTCTGGCTTGAATGGAAGAGACAAAAGTCCTATATGAAGGGGGTGACAATAAGCTAGTTTTTTTTTTAAACTATTTTCTTTCTTTTTCTCTGTTTTTTTTTACTTATGAAGACTTAACACTTTCTTGGGGATGGTGTGAGTGGTTTATTGGCCTCTCACGTTAAGAAATTCCTTGCTTATTTTAGATATCTTGTCAAAAATGGTGGTTTATAATCTTAGGAGAGAATTCTGTGATTCTGTGATTTTAGAACTCACATTTCAAAGTTGCTGCTTAAAACATGAGATGTGAAAGCCCTGATAGGTCTATACTTGTGACTGTTTTAAAAATGATAAAATTTTGATCTACTCAGTAGGAATCTCTGTAAAACACATTCTTTTAAAAGGAAAAATAAGAAATAATAAAGGACATTGGAACTGAAAAACATGAAACATAAAGCCTACCTATGATGATTTATCCAGACACCCAGCTAGTGCTATTTCTGTAAGAATTGTTGTCATGATAACGGTGTAAATTTGCATCTTCATGTTGTAGGGCATTCTGGTTTATCAATATGGGATATAAAGCTGCCATGCATAAAGCTGATCTCCCACCCCACATGAAGTTTTCAGCTGTACAAATCTGAGTGAACCATGAGCTGCCTACAATGTGTTCTTGCCAGGCACACATTAGATGCTCAATAAATATTTGTTGATTGAATTGAATCCAAAGGAGCCTCATATGCGTAACTTATATACAGCCCGCACAATTTACACAATGCCTGCTACAAAAACATGCTTCCAGAAATGATTCCTCCCATACTAACCACTTCAGACCTGGAAGCTGAACAATGCTGTTTTGTTGGGCTGTATGACCTAATGTCCACCTCCATCTGTAAAGCCACCCTCAACCATTTCAGTCAACATCGAGCTCTTCTTTTCCAAATAGCCGCAGCACTTATCTTACTTCGTATTTCTGCTATTTGTTTGTTGAAAAGATTGCATCTCCAAAAAAACGGGTGAAATTCTTAAAAGCAGAGACAATGTCTTATTATTCTGTGGGTTCCACTGCACTTAACACAGAGCAGGTATTCAATAAAAATTTATTAAATTGATTCCCTGGTTTGATATGTGATTGTTGATGGGCATTTACTCATTAGATATCTCTGTCAGATATTTCAGGAAAGGTCCAACCTTTCCACACTCAACCAAACAAAATATGGCATTGCTTTCAAAACTTTCCTTTTGACTCAGTCTTCGAAACACCCATAGAATAAGATATCTCTCCATAAAAGAGGCCTAAGCGTATTTCTCCAAGGCTTGACTAGGCATGGTTGTCAGCGCATCCCCCAAGGTACAGTGGAAAATAGCTTTTGTCAGGTACTACTGGGGAATGCTTTCTCCATGATTTCTTAGGGGTCAATGGAACATAATTTGGTGTAACTCTTTCAACCAATCAATACTCCAAGAAAAGCAAACCCAGCTGAATATCAGGGGAACATAACTTTTTTTAATGCATATAATAGCTAGCATTCCTGAAAGCTTCCTCTAGATCCTATTCTGTGTGCTTCAGTTTAACAGTTTATCTTCGCAGCAGCACCATGAGGTAAGTAATATATTCTCCAAGATATAATGAGAGACTGGGGCTCAGAGAATTAAAGTCACTTTCCCAATGTCATAGGGCCAGAAAATGCAGAGCTCAGACTTGGAATGAGGCTGTGTCTAAGCTTGGGCTGCCAATACAATAGCCACTCGCCACATACAATTATTTAAACTAATTTAAATGAAATAAAAATTTTAAATGTAGTTTTTCAGTCACACCAACCATATTTCACATGCTCAATCGCCAATCTTGCTAATGGCTCCTATACTAGACAGTGAAGATACAGAGCATTTCCTCCACTGCAGGAGGTTCTGCTGAACAGCGCTGCTCAAGTGCCTGCACCTGCCGGCTGTGCTGACTCTGAGCCCTGGACTAGGAGAAAGCCTGGAGGCTGGAGGCAGCAACTTCAGGCAGATGTGTATGTGAACGAGGAACTGAGAGGCAGGGTGGGTGAGGAAGGGAGGAGCTCTGCATCCTACGTCACCTGGGACCTATGCTGGGGCTTCAGTAGGGATGAAGGCCCCTGGAATATCCTGTGAACAGCTGCAATGGAGGGGGGTCTCCCCTGCTCCTGCCAAGGGGTCAAGGGGATGGGGGTCAGCTCTTTTACAGGCTGAGTGGCCAGACTGGAGAGAGGAAGTCTGTACATTTGGAGCCAGCAATAACCACCTGCCCCCATCTGGGCAATGGCTACCCTTAGAGCTCACTTCCCCTGGAGAGGCAGGATTCCACCCAGGCCTAGGAGAGGACGTGGCAGAAGCATGCAACACAGCGCATATCTTGACAGCATCCACTGACTGATCACCCTGGGCCCACTGGGGCTGGGATGGTCTGACTGCTTCAGAGCCACGAGCCATTCCTGAATTCTTGACAGACCCTCAGGACCAGTATTCTGATTGTTTTACAAGCACCAACCAACATTTCAGTGCATACTGGCCATTTATTTGAACACACTGACTTCAGATACACACTGAAATGAAAACGATTAACAACTGTGGCTCACACTCAATACATTTCAGATGCTGCATCGAGGTGCTGTGCTGTAATAAGCATAAGCCATAGTTATTATTTTTATTTGTATATATAGTATATTTTATTTATATGTGTTCTTTGAATTTTCCCAATTCTATGAGGTGTACCTGTAGGTATGTATATATTATTATTACTTTAATTATTATTTTCATTCTCATTTTACACATGAAGGAACTTAGGCACAGTGACATGGTCACACAGCTATTAAGACAGTGGAGCCCAGTCAGTCTGGGCCCTGCATCCACGTTCTGAACCATGACACCGAACTGCTCTGCTCACCCAGCATGAATGCCACTCCAAGTTGCAATTCTCTATGTTCTTTATCTGTATAACCACTTTGGGTGTTCAGTTTGGCATGGTTTTCACGATTACTCCTGTTACAGTTTGGAAATGCCTCCACTGAGCTTCCAGAAACTGTTTGTTTTGATTTACAAATACAATAATGGTGTCAAGCGTGTAACTGGCAGAGTTTTTATTTTTATTTTTTACATCAAACTTGGAATTTCTACTCTGTCCAGTGATAACTTGCTTCCTAATTATTTTGAATTTTAGACAGTGCTTTGAATAAGTATTTATAAATGTGTAGACTTTTGACTTTGACTTAGGGACAAGAGTTTGATTTGAATTGCTTATCCTTTCTGAGAGCTGTTTTTATTCACAAACAACTGCGTGTTGCTCTTTCAAGAGCCTGATCGGTAAGTTCAGGAAGCATTTATGTGAGAATAATAAAAGTGGCAATTAAAAAAAATAAATGCAGCCATTAATAACATAACCCATTCATTGGTATTAATGCATGTCATGACAGTACTGCTAATATCAAACACAAAGAGCTAATTTTTAGAAATTTGGTACAGGATTACAAACATAAATTAATAAGAAAAACAAAAAAAAACTTACAGGCTCTGGACTTACCGTGTTCATATTGGCTGAGACAGCTG